TGGAAGTGGATAAAATAGATTCCTGCAGTAGCCAGCATGGAGAAGTAGGCAACTCCCAGCCTGGAGCAGTTCGAGCCAGGCAGTTCAGACACCCTCTCTTACTGTTGGCACTAGTTTTATGGTGTTTTTCAAGGAAATATTGAATAGCCCAGGACACGTCTGTCTGAAAGATACCGTCTTGTGCTCTGTGCTACCCAGGCGAGAGGTAATCATAGAATGGAGCAGGGATGCCTCCCACTAGACCAGGTTGCTCAAAGCCCCATCCAGCCTGGCCTTGGACACTTCTGGGGAGGGGGCTGCCACAACTTCTCTGGGCAACCTGTGCCAGTGCCTCATCACCCTCACAGTAAAGAACTTCTTCCTAATGTCTAATCTAAATACGCCCTGCTCTAGTTTAAAACCATTGCCCCTCGTCCTATCACCACAAATCTATTATAAGAAGTCCCTCTTACTTTACAGTGTGTGCAAGCTGAAATTTTAAGAGTTTTCACTCACAGCAGCACAGGGACTGATTCCTTGCATGGAGGCACCTAGTCCTAGCAAACGTCTTTTCAAAGCTGTTTCCTTCCCACTTTCCTCAGAGGTGCTATTTCAAATTGTCCTTTTATGCCACTTTTTGTTCTCCACCTCTTCCTCTACAACTTTCAGAACAGGTGCTGTTCGCAAACGGAGTTCTTCAGAGTAGATTGTAAATAGAACTAATCCTGCAAGTGCTCTGTGTTGTCAGATATAACCTCCTTCACAGTGCTTTATAAAGTAATTGTTTTGTTCTATTGTGTTAATTCTACCATGTATCTCCCCTGAACTTAAAAAGGTTTTAGGAGACTGGATTCAGTCTGTTGAAATCACACAGTATGACCAAGGTTGTAGCAAGTGGTGTGCTGATGTTGCCTGATTTAAGTAAATGCTGTTCTCCAAATGAGTAAGACAGGGTATTACAGGTAATTAGAATATTTCTGGTTTCCCTTCACTTCACTGAAAATGACCATGAGAAGCCTAGTGCAAAACCCATTTGCACTAGCTCCAAGCACCTAAATATAGCACGATGGCCTACTGCATAGCGTGAGAGAGAATAGCATTAGAAGTCTAAGATTTCTCTCTTTAAATACAGATTCTGGTATGTGGTCAGAAATTTCAGCTGTTTCCAACATGCCTCGGGAGGCATTAGAATGCTGGTATATTTTACGACAGCAAAGTTCAGCCTCTGTTTTTTTTTTTCTCAGCCAAAGTTGTACTGAGCAGTGGCTCTGAAGTTCTCACTTTGGATAAACAGGTGCCTTCTCTATGCTGGTAATCCTAGACAATTCTTTTAATCTCGATCTGACAGCTGATACTTTGAGAATCCATCCTATTTGCTCGTAACATTTTTCCATAGATGTGTGCGAGCAGATGCTAGACCTTTTTATGTCTATTTATCTGCTCTGGTGTAAGTGCTCATTACACAAACTCAGAATCTGTGGGGTTTTTAGTAATACTGGCACAGAAAGGTGGCATGACTTTTATGGAGTAGCTTTTAACACCTGTCACTTGGAAACAAGGCTAGGGAGAAAATGCAGGTCACACATAAAGAAAATAATGTCCACTTTAGTTCGGTCCAGGTAAATAAAACACAAATCAAGAGGAATGTCTCCAGGCTTTACACTGACAGTGCGTTTTGTTGAACAGTGAGTCTAAGATTGCTCATGTGCATCGTACTATTTCAGAGCCTGGACTAGTCAAAAGGTAGGAGGACGCTATTTCTCTAAGGTGTGGCTTAATCACTGCTACTGGTTTTCCTTTGGTATTCTAGACAGAAGGTTTTGGAGTTACATTACAATGTCAGAAGATTTGAAGACTTCCTGTGAGGTTTTTGTTAATTTAAACACTTTTATTTAAACACTTGTTGATTTAAACACTTTAAAAGCGTACTTACTTTAATGCATACTTACACATTTTTGGCGTTACTCTGGTGTTTCAAAACAAAGCATCGTAGCTTAAAAAATCCAAACAAAGTAGACTTTTTTTATTGCTTAGGACTTTAAAATCCTAGGAGAAGGGTTACTTTCTTGGTTTAGATTAGTCATCGTAAAGTTTTCCTTTCATCTACTGAATATTTTAGCCAGCTGGTAATGTGGCAGAACCCTCAAGACAAAAGGGAAGATCGTGTGAGCTCCACTAATGCTTTCACTGGTTTTCATTGTCAGTATGAGAATATCCCTATGGCTGATTAGTCCTGTCCTTGATGCCTTTGCTTGCAAAGGAGTCTCAAGGTAGCTATTAATGTACTACGTTTATTTGAAAGAAAGATATGAACAATTAGTATTATATTTTATTTTTTAAAATCCAATTTATTACTGCTCTTTCTGCCTGTAAAAAAAGTAATCTGTATGGTTTCTTGTCGGTTTCATTGCTTCGTGTGTGCCTAGAATATATACATTAAGAGCAAGAAGGAAGGGCTCAATAATGAGGAATGTCCTTTTATAGTAATCTTTATTTACCTTGGTCTCTTTTAAAATAGTCTTGTGATATCTTTATTTTAAGGCAGCATCTACACTGGTACTGTGGATGTGAGGTTGTGGGTGACCAGCGGTGACCGGCTGCATTTCACTGCTCAAATGGGGCAGGACATGCCTGAATGTGGTGCGTGACAGTTTTGATGTGAAAATGACAACAAATGTGTTCATACAGGTGTGACTGAATGAGAAATGGAAGGGCTATTTTAGCTACTGTTAACATTTTTTGATTCTTTTATGCAAATTTTTAGGTGAAGCCTACTGCTATCGTGTAGCTTTTCCTACTGTAGGCCGGGTTAAGGCGTGACAGCAGACTTCTCTAGCCCTTGAAACTGACTTGCCATGGATTGCTATTTAGATAAAGAACAGCATTTTAGAGAAGTTCTTCCATACCAGACTTGTTGAGGGTGGTCTAAAGTTTATCCCATTATTTTCCTGCCTCGAGATCAAAATTTATTTTAGAAACGGCTGAAATCTCACAAAGGAATCGAACTCAAACTAGTGTGTCCTGGTACCTCGATCAGTACCTGAGCCGCGCGGTCGCATTTTCTTTCCTTGTTAATGAAGAAGATGAACACTGAAACATTTACATTTTCATCCTTTTTCAGGCAGGCCTGAAAGGCCATTGAAACAGCCTCAGCTTGGTTTCCTCAACATGTTTCTTAAACTCTTTCCTAAACAGTTATGTAGGTGCTTTCCCCACCCCCAAAATCCCTGTGCTGTGGGCTAGTCTGACCTGAATTTGAAAGAATTCTCAAAGATCCGTGAGTCTTAGGTAAATAATTGACCCCGTGGGAGTTAAACCAAAAAGGAGACCAAACTGATCCATCATTGAGCAGCGGTGCTGACAACAATGACAACCCCGAGGTCGCGGGTTCAATTCCCGCTCGGTCCCCATGTGTTGCCTGGTCTAGTCGAGAGGAGGCATCCCTGCCCAAAACAAGGAGGTTGGACTAGATGATCTCTAAAGTCCCTTCCAACCTAGGCCATTCTATGATTCTATGATTCCAAGTGAGACCAGAACTGAGCTGTTGCTGCTGTGGCAGCCGTCAGTCAGCCAGCTTGTGTCACTGCTGTGTTGCGGCTCAAGTGAGCTGCGAGGGAGGTTGTCCCTCGCTTACTGCGGTCCTGTGGGAAATAGGGATTTTGGAGTAGAGGGTGTTGACTCACAAGACTGTAGGGTGTTGGGTTTTACTGACTGCGTGGCTCTCAAGGAAGTCACTTGCTATAAAAAATACTAAAACTGGCAGACCTGTTTTTTGTAGTTTTACCTTAACCGTTCTGGCGCGTGACCCTGTGGAACTCAGGCCCCTCAGCTGAAGGGAAGTGGTTAGTTAAATCCTTCCAAAGAGCAGTTTTCTCCCGTCTTTTTCTTGGGGATATAAAATAAACAGCAGCTAATCCATTTTGGTTAACTGATCTAGTAATCCTACCAGTTCTTCAGTTGTCTTTAAAGCTGTCTGGGAAAACAGAGTAGAGCTGAATTTCTCTGAAGGTTGGGAGCAAATTTTTTCTGAAGTGATAAGGAACAGAGAGGACTAGATTGATGTTATACTGGCATTTCCTGTACAAGTTACTTTTAGGGACAATTTAAGGAAGCTTTTAAATATCTGGTTTATTCAAGGGTGATAGTTTAGTGCTTTTCAGCCTTTGCATTTCAGAATCTTCCTTTTGTCAACCTCCTGGTCTTACACATCCTCCTGTTTGTATCTCAGGAACTCCAGACTATGAACCAGTACATGGCCGGCCCCATGGAGTCCAAATGGATGTTTGTCGTGGATTCTTATTTTGGCCTGTACAAAGTTGATCCAAGGACAGGAAAGAAAACCCTCCTGCGGTTGAGTGAGAAAGGTGATGCTACAGTTAGTGAGGAATCATAGAATCACAGAATGGCCTAGGCTGGAAGGGACCTCAGAGATCATCTAATCCAACCTCCCTGTCATGGGCAGGGACGCCTCTCAACTAGATCAGGCTACTCAAGGCTCCATCCAACTTGGCCTTGAACACCTCCAGGGAGGGGGCAGCCACAACATCTCTGGCCAAGTTATTCCAAAGTCTTGCCGCCCTCATACTGAAGTATTTCTTCCTAAGATCTAATCTAAATCTATTCTCCTTCAACTTAAGCCCATTTCCCCTTGTCCTATCAGTGGACACTCTTGTAAAAAGTCCTTCCCCAGCCTTCCTGTAGGTTCCCTTCAGGTATTGGAAGGCAGCTATTAAGTCCGTAGAGTGATCTTGGATTTGGTCCTCAGGCTTGTGTATAAACTGGAAGGTCCAGGCCCTTTAATCAGCTGAGATCAATATTAGTGACTGTGGGGACTGGGACTGACTGAAAATCTGTTGCCTGTATATTTTAAAGATTTATTTTAAAAAATAGAAGAAAACAAATGCAATTGTATTTGTCAGAGGCTTTTCATTTGGTGCTTGTCATATTGAGTTGCAACTTGAATGTATTTCCCTGCAAAGGAAAGTAATTCGGAGCTTGGACTTTACCTTCGAAACAATTAAGGACGGCATTAACTGAATCACTCCAAACACAGTAATTATTTTAATCAGTAGTCATTTTTATTAGCTAAGTGTGGATGAGCATTAACCGTGAGATTTGGAATGACAGTATCTGAAATCATAAGCTTGTGTGGATTGGAATCACTCCAAACACTTGATGGTTTAGTAATTATTTTAAACAGTAGTCATTTTTATTAGCTAAGTGTGGATGGGCGGCACTGAATCACTCCAAACCCAGTAATTATTTTAATCAGTAGTCATTTTTATTAGCTAAGTGTGGATGGGCGGCCTTTCAAATTCCTAAATGGATTAGAAGTAGCAAATCAAAATTTGATTTATTTCATGGATTCAAGCAGCAAGTGCGAAAGGTGACATCACAAATAGGAGATGAGATGAGGTAACCTTGTAGCCATTTGTTGAGGCAGCTTAAGTGTTAATTTTTGTGTGGGCAGCACTAGGTACCAGGCTGCAGATAATGCAAAACTTTTTTTGATTGTGCTCGGTGTGCTTTAGCCAAGTATGTTATGAATGCAGCGAGCTTGAGCCCTGAGGCAGAGGATGGGCTGTGCTATTCTGTAGCTGCTTTTCCGGTAAAGCAAAACAAACACACCCCCCCCCAAAAACCTCTGTGTATGACTACTCAGATAAATTGTCATGTGACACACTACATGCTGGGATTTTACAGTATGTTCATTTCTCTCTGGTATCTGCCTATAGGCACGCTCTTACACCTGCAGTTGATGCAAGGTAGCAAACTGCATGTGTACTCAGAGGTATCTTTTCTGTGTAGACATAGCCTCTGAGTAGGATGTTATCACAAAATCACAAGAATGCCAGGGGTTGGAAGGGACCTCTACAGATCATCTAGTCCAACCCCCCTGCCAGAGCAGGATCCCCTAGGGCAGCCACACAGGAATGTGTCCAGGTGGGTTTTGAAAGTCTCCAGAGAAGGAGACTCCACAACCTCTCTGGGCAGCCTGTGCCAGTGCTCTGTCACCCCCACAGGGAAAAAATTTTTCCTAATATTTTTTTGTGGAGCCTCCTATGTTCCAGCTTGTACCCGTCGCCCATTGTTATCTAGAACAAACTGTCGGTAAAGCTGAAATTCAGCGAGATCACAGACTTAAAAGTTTACACTAAGTCTCGGTTTTACAAGGAGAAAATCACATGGAGGGAAAATATATGTAATTTAAGGGGTTTGAGTCAAGATCCAAGTTATTAAAAGAAAAAAAAAGATAGTGGAAATCTCTTATGTGTTGCTTGCTGTTCCTTAAAGCTATCAGAATTCTCCTGATATTGATAGTATGTTATCTTTGCCATTTATTTTTTCAGACTTGATAAGGGACTGCCAGTACAAATGGCAAACATAAAGGTGGTTTCCTCTTCACAGGGCTTATCTGTGTATAATTCAAAGCTTCCCTGCATACTTTCAGCAGAAGAAGCATTCAAATTATTTCGTATGAGCAGTAAAATGCTGGCTGTTTACTTGCTTTAGCAAAACACTTGTGAACACTGTCCGGTTTGATGTGAAGAAGTAGTTATTCACAGAAGCCTGGTAAGTCTCAATATTTTTCTAAAACAGGAACTGTGGAATAACATATTTTGAACTCTGGGCTTTGTAACCCCCACATTCCTGGTTTTGAAAGAATGCTGTGTTTACCCCGGAAAATGACACAAACAGAATCCTTTTTTCCTTTAGTGGTCTGAGCATGTTGGTTTTAAGACGCCACCTGCCATTCTGTAAAGTCTGCTTTTAGCTAATTTATGTTAATTCAACTCCTGAATATTTTTCTATTCTAACTGAAACCAGGTACTTTGATAGCCTTATTTTTCATTAGATGTATTGATTAAGGTAATCAAAACAAACCATCTTGGTCGCCTCTTGGCCTATGACCCCGCAACAAGAACAAGAACAGGAAGAACGCTGCTGTGTAGAATCATACAGTATGTTAAACCTTATTCTCCTCCTAGGTATAAAATAGAATCATAGAATCATAGAGGGGCCTGGCCTAAGCTGGAAGGGACCTTAGAGATCACTTTAATCCAGCCTCCCTGTTGCCAGGGACGCCACCTCTCGACTAGATCAGGCAACACATGGGGACCGAACGGGAATTGAACCCGTGACCTTGGCTTTGTTAGCGCCATGCTCAACTGACTGAGCTAACTGACCCCCAATACTACATGTTAGTTTATATTACATGCTTTTAATCAATTTGTAGACGTGATTTTCATGTTCTTTCTTTTCTGATTTTCCTTTTCTAAAAAACAGAAGCCGCAGATGTGCATGTAACAGGATTGCCATTGGAAACTTAGTCTAAACTACTTTTTTCTCTTGCAAGACTCATGGGTTGTTCTTGATTCTAGTTAAGATATTAGCAGTCGCTCTTCTCACTGACAAATGTTTTTTAAACTGAGTTACTGATACATTGGGCCCTGATTCCCTCAGACTCAATTTCAATTGTCCTGATGGCTCCATTACTGCAGTTACAACAGGTCTCCGTGGACAAGTGTCACTGCGTGACTGTGACGATTAGTGTAACACCACTTTTTTTTCCCCATTTTAAAGGGAATCAGTGTGTTAACAGTTTTGTATTTCATGGAAGTCATTAAAGCCAAATTTAATACTAGCTTTCATTTAACAACAGGCACATTTTCTAGAAACAGATTTTTCAACTAGGACCAGGGACCACTGTTTATGTTACGTGTAGAAAAACGAGGGGCTTCGGCCACTCAGCGTTACTCAAGTTTAATCCCTCTTCACATCTACTGCTTCCTGCAGGGTCTGAAAATTCCTTGTATGAATCAAAATGATGGATCTTCTGTGCTGTTAAACTTGCTGTATTTTGCAGCAGCCACTATAACTCATACACAAAATTTCTTTTTGCAGTTACTGGCAGGAAAAAAAAAAAAAGACAATTTTGTGGACAACCTGCCTGGGTATCCAGACATCAGATTATCAAATACAGGCTTATACAGAGTTGGAATATCTGCTGCTCACTTTCCTAGTTTCTTTTTTCCTTTTCTGGATGCTTTAGGGCCACATCCATTCCTGAACGGATTTATTGCAAAGGTAACTAACTTTGACACTGCATAGAATTACCTATCAGTGTCACAAAATGTTAATGTTTTAAGTATGAAAGAACTTGTTATTCTTCATTAGGAAACACAAAAGACTGCTTCATCTTTGCCTGCCAGCATATCAACACAGACTAACTTTGATTTTTTTCTGCAAAGTTTAAAGATTGGTTTCTTTTTTACATATCAAAACACAGCAGTTTCACTGTTGTGGTAATACCAAGAACTCATTTACAAAGTAGAAAAGCCAGTGTTGACAAAAGTAGTCCACAGTGCCAAGCTCTTAGCCCATTGTTTATAGCAACAGCTATTGTCAAGAGAGGTGAAGAACCCTTTACAGAAAGTAGGAGGATTTTGCTATGGGAATCAAACTCTACAAAGTCATTCTTGCCAAGCAGGAGTCATGGAGCTGGTTATGATTAACGGTGCTACTCGTTCTGGTACCCGTGCTGCCTTTTCCCTAGAACTCGAGCAGGAAAAAACACTGAAGGGGGTCATTCAGTTTTGTTTCATCCTCTTAGTCCTGTTTTTAGAAAATAGGTGGCTTTTGGCAACTGAACAAAGTTTAAAGAACTTCCACACCTTCTTGAGCAAGCAGGCACTGACTGTGCTTCAAGATTAGCAAACAATTACCGGACTGCCAGCTTCAGACACAGTCCAGTGGACACTGTCAAAAGATTAAGTGACAGCTGAATCTGACTAGAGCAACATCTGAAAAGCGCTGTATTAGGCACTGCCATTCCTTTTCCCTGCCCCCTGAATGGAGTGTTAACACTGTATTTCTTTTTCGAGAACAAGTGACTCCTTTATCAGTCCACAGCATTTTCCTTCACAAACATGGTTTGGTCTGAGAAACTAATGACAAAGAAAACATTGTGGCAAGTTTCCTGGAGTGTGATGGCAGCGTCACTTTGGCCATCAGCAACGTCTTTGAGCACAGCAGGAACGTGGAGATTGGTAACACAGAGCTTTCTTTTCTTGTGGTGCTATAGTAAACTACAGTTTTGGTAAGCTGAAGCATCAAAAGAAGGATAGCAGCATTGTTTCAAGCAACCATTAAATACTCTTCATTGCTTCATGGAAGGCTCACTTTCATTTCTCCTTCAGTGAAGGAGAAATGAAAGTGATACCACATAGTTAAGCAAAAATGAAAATGCAATGCAGAAATACTTGTTTGAGAAGCTTGTGAAAGCCCCAGACTTTTAAAGAGGTCAGAGGTACCAAATAACTTTGCTCTACAGTTCAGAAAATAGTTACGTATATACTGCATATATATGCATATACAGCAAGGAATACAGCCAGGGACCGAGGTGAGCAAGTAGCACATACCTCACAGTTCCCATTTTGGAAAAAGCCTCATGTAAGATTTTATTCTTCCTCTTTCCCAGAGGCAAACATACTGCTTTTAACTATGAGCAGCAGTTTCTCCACTGTATCTTCTCTTAAAGTTTTCCATATATTCAGCTACATCAGTTTCCAAGGAAATATGAGCAAGTTCAGCTTGCATTTAAATTTGTTCTCTCCCCTCACTGCTTCTTCCTGGTGCAAAACAGTCACAGGTTGTTCTTGCTAGACATTGTGCATAAGGTTCCCTGTGACTGTATAGAAGTTCACTAGTGGCCACTGCAGAAAAGAGGGTTATAAGTCAGGAATTTGGTCTTTAGAGGTGTGACACAGCTCATTCTTGTGGAAGGGTTTGACTGAAGTTCAGTAACAGAAAGAGAGGAAGTTTGATAGGCAGTTTATTTTTTTTCTTTCCCCAAAAGTGCAGCAGTGAACAGGGTCCTCTGGAAGGGCACTTTCCAAACAAACGTTCAAAACAGCAATAGTTAAGTATGTTTACAACATGCTAAAGCAAAGTATGCTCACGTACAAAGAGAGAACAATACAAATGAAATTAACTGAGTCACAATAAATGACAGCTGTTTATGATGAAAGACTGTATTCAGCTCCTAGAATCAGTTAAATTCGACTGAAAAGGTATTATACCTGCTTTGGGTGTATGTTTGCATGTATGTGTCCCTGTTACAGCTTTGTTCCTCAAAATGAAGCAGCCCAGTTTACTGGGCCTATGATGAGTAATCACGTACCAGCTGTATTCAGTTAGGCTGAAGTGATGATACTGAATGTTTTTTGGTTTAGGATAGTGTAATAAGGTTATTCACTGTATTTCTCCCTGTATAGTATCCACTTTACCAGATCAGACCATTAATTTTCACAGCTCTGCTTTTGATAATAATGATTTTAAAAATAGAAAATAAATTTTTAAAAAATTGCATTTTACCTAAACCCAACTCTGTACCAGTAAGGCCCTTTCGTGGAACACAAATGCCTTCAGTAATAAGGTACAGATACAGCCCTGGTCAAGTAACATATGAAATGGAATATCCAGGGAGATCATTCAGTTTTAAAATAACTTGGGAATTAGATCTGGATAAGGGTGAAAGTTCCTTCATAGCATTTCTTTAATCATCAAGGATAAGAATTAACACTGCTCATTTAAGGCTGTAAAAATACTCAGAATTAGTGGTTTCATGGAAAGAGACGCCAGACAAGTTCCAAACCCTTCTAAAAGCAGTGGAAGGCAGCTGTTGGTTCCTGTGCGTCCTTCAACCACCTGCCTTTGCCGAACAGTTCTTAAGTCTATCAAAAATTCTGACTAATTCCATTCTGAATTTCACTTTAATATGACATTTACTACCTATGCAGACTGCAGGTACAGTGCAGTTCTCTGGCAGCAAGTGTGGAAGTTATTGAGCCTGGTTACAAAATGCATTACAGGTGTGTGCAGACAGCAACAAGTGTTAATTTGGTTACAATATCTGGCCACACATACTGAATAAGCTGTATCATTTCTGTCTACTCTTATTAGTTATTAGGCAAAAAGTACATAATTCTAAAGAAAATGTTCTTGTTATGGCTTGAGATCTCTTTAAGAAAAGACAGAGTTACACATCTGTACCCATAACAAAGTTAGGTGGTTTGTTGTTGGTTTTTCTTGTATTACGAAACAACATAATGCACATTACTTGAACTGAAGCTTAACTCAAGCAGAAACCTGACAGATGACCTAGATTTGATAGAACTGCTGAGGGTTTAATGTGCAGCAATCAATGTATTTCACATTGGCTTCCACACAGCTACCAAAATAAAGTTTAAACAAAGAAAAAGTCTAAATTGCTAGAATTATCTGAGCAAAACACTACATAAATGAACTTTATGTTTAGCTCAGTGTGCAAGAAAACACTTGAGAGCACAGAAACAACTTTGGTTTTGTTTTTAAAGACAAAACAGAGTGAAGAATATTGATGGCCAACACTAAGGCTTGAGAACCAAAAAACCAAGATAAAGCTACAGTTGTAGTAGAGGGACAAAAAAACCAAAAAAAAAGGTCCTGAGTATTTGAAAGCATGTAAGTAATTTGAATATCCAAACCTCTCTGCATTTATATAGATGCTCCAGTTGAAAAGTTACCTGTCAAGTGATTTTTTTTTTCCTCCAAATATTTGGTCACTGTAGAGATTCAAAGCTCTGTAAAATCTAACCTGTAGATCACACACAAGTTTGCAACTCCAAGCTACATGAAGGACAACTGTGCTTCAGAATTAAAAGCCAGAGCTCAACTTATTTTATTGTAGCATTGCCTGTATCCAGTTTGTAGATCTGGGGTACACACCTTCACAGTTTTGAAAGAGTCGTACTTTGTTGCCTACTTAATGATTACTCAGTAGAACATTGTACCTGACGCAAGTTGAAATCATCACGCTCTCTATTTGGGTAAAAGATCTGAAATAACTAACCAAAATACAAATAGTTGTGCCACAGTTTGTTTGATGAAGGAACAACTATCTTGCCTGCTAACACAGCTGATTTGCCCACAAGCGACATGAACTTATCTTGCAAAAGATAACACACTAACGCAAGGTTGGGTGTTTTTCAAAATACTCAAGTTTGGTTGCAAGTGACGGCTGTGTGTCAGATAAGCCTCATCAGAAGGTTGAGGAGACAACATCACCCTTCCAAAGGGAAACCAAGTGATAACGTACTGCAGTCAGATACCCGACGTGCAGTCCTTTGGTGTGAAGGCCACTTACTGCAGGTTCTGAGTAGTTACATCTCAACCAAAAAGCACACTCTATGAATCACTTAAACTGCCTAAACCAGCCCTCTTAGCCTAACTTCTGGTGAGCAACAACTTACTTTTAGCTAGTTGGCTTTCAAAATAATTTATCTTCAGGAATCTAATTAACCTAAGATATTAGACAATTCAAGATGTTTAGAAGTTAAGATACAGATCAACTCTACCATGGTGCCCTGGTTTGTTGGGTTTTGTGGATTCTTTTTTCTTTAGTATTACTTCTGCTCACGTATTAAAACAGACTTAAGAGTTAGCTCAAAATGCAGGCACGCTTATTTGAATACTTGTTAGTCGCAATACTTTTGTTTAACTCACTAGGAAGCCTATTAAACCCTAAGAGTTTTTTTCCAGTAGCACACAGTAACCCATTCGAGCATTTCAAACTAGGAAAAGGTTTGAAATTGCATTCTTGTATGCAAGCTGCCAAAGCTGTCCTACAAAATTCATTGGTCTCATTTGAAGTGGTCTCACTGAAAGAGAATATTCAGTGTAAAGATTTTAATTCTGCACAAGACGCTAGTCAGATCCTACGGTTTTGACAAATGCTATTTTGGGCTAGTTCTCTACTGTCATTAACAGCTTTGAGCTCAAAACAGGAAACCTGTAATTAGACATAGCTTTTCAGAAAGTCTATGACACTGAATATGGGTGAGCATTACTGTGCAACAGCACCTGCCTACCTAACCCAAATCAAATACGCATTCATTGATTTTTTTAGAACAAAATAAACTTCAGATTCATAGGCAAAGGATCACCTCTGTGCCTGTGATATGAAAAGGTACTTGAAGGATAAAGGTGGTAATCAACTATCTGAGCAAGACAGATTAGCTGTGTCTAATGATTCAGAGTTACAGTTCAGCTGTAAAATATACATATTGCACAAGGCAACCAGCTAAAGACAAGGGGTTTTCTTCCAAACAGAGTCTGAAGAGCCCATGAAAAGTCTTCCAGCTGTGATCAACGAGAGTTACAGAGACAGACCCGCTGCAGTCACTGGAGAAACCGGTCAGTGGGAGCTCATTGCAAGAGGCTCTTAAGTGCCTTATAAGGTCTGTGCAGAAAACCTCCGAGCCCGAACACCGTGATTACTGAACATGAGCCGTGGGTCGAACCTGTACCTGGAGAAAGGAACAGAAACTGCATGAACTATGGTTAAAACCACAATGACCAACACCTCTAGAAACAGCTTAATTCTAGAATAGCTCTGGTACAAGGCTACACAAATAGCTGCTTTCTTAACAGTATGCAGTAGTGACAATCTCTCCGCATATTACAACAGCTAAATGTGTAACTAAGGAGCTGACAGTCTCCGAAGAAATAAAAGCTAGCTACAACATACCATACACATACATTGGCATGTAAAACATTAAGCAGTCAGGAGACGCATTCCAACAGAAAGTACCGGTGCCTCAAATTACAAGCTTATTTTGCTTATTTTGTAGTTTTAAATAGTGCTAAAAAAGAAAAAAAAAAAAAAAAAGCTTTGGTCCAAATGATTATCAACTGAATTTTGAGGTAAAAAGTGCTATTTACTTACAACAGCTGACTAAGACATACAACTTGGGTCCTGAAGGAAACATTCTTTGCTAACAGCATCTCCGGCAAATACTTGCTACTTGCTGGCCTACAGAAGCCTGCAGAGCTTTTCGTTGACTGCACGCAAGCCTGAGGTCACTTGTCTCTGACTACTCAGCATTGCTGTAAGCTTCAGCTATTCTAAGTCAACAAGTGGCTGACAAGATTGAATTAGTAGTATTAATACCATCAAGTTATATTTGGTAGGTTAAATTAAAATAGAGATTAAACATTAAAAAAAAATAGAAGCATCAAGAAAGGATCTCTATGAAAAAGTATGTCAGCAATATTATATTCCATCATAAATGCCCCCTATGAAAGCTTAAATCAAAAAATATATAGTTCTATTTAAAAGTACTATAATAATGAATTGAATCAGTGTTTACCCTGGATCGAAGACACCTGGTGTACGACAAGTTGCTCCTGAGCAGGATTGCAGCATCATTAATCGATAGTTCATCTTTTCTAAAATTTCTTGATCAATTGTTTTAGCAATGTTATCGATCTGGTGTGGGTCTGCAGTCAAGTTATACACTTCCACAAACACCTGGAGAAGAAAGTTCTTGCACTGTATTAAGTCCTAAATGCCCATTAACATTTAAATCGTATTATTTGGGAGGAACACTTCATGGCACCAGAGTCTCAAATGTTATTTTCAACTGCACTGCAGCATCCCAACACATAAGCTCTGTTTAGCCATGCAGCTAAGTAGCCATAGGCAGGACAGTGCGTAGGCAAAGCTACATTGTGATAGTTCTTTGTTGTGATAGAACAATATTGTTGGAAAAGGTTTTACTACCACCTGAAGTACTCATCTGCAGCACTTAACATCTTTTTCTAAGTCTTCAGACTGTAAGAGCACAGCAAGAGGCTCTGGCTAAGCCATCTTTTCATTAATGGATCTCAAAATACACAATTTCAAGACCATCACATCACCCTTATATGCTCACCAGGTACTTCCAGCTGTCAGGCTCATGTGTCTTGACTACACGTACAAAACACGCTGAATACTAGTATGCTGTAACCTCAATACGAGAAAGTCTTTTGTGTGCACATGCTTTGAGAATGTTATCTGGAGGATTTTAGAGCAGATTTGTTTCTTAGTACATTAAATTTCTGAACCATTCTGTGAGACAAATACTAGTCAAACATATCTCAAGAATTCAGCTGAGGTTTTGTCTGTGCTAGAGTAGAAGGCCAGACTGCAGACAAAGTTGGCTACAACTGGCTGGGTTGTGTCTAACTTAGATAAAGATGTATCCAGGCAGACCTTGGTTGCAAGCTTTCTTCTAAGGTGCACTGCAAGGCTTTAAAAGCCACATTGCTGCATCTCCCCAGTACTGTTAGTCTTAATTTAGCTGACCCACATAAGCCTAGTGACTCAAAAATGCCACAGCCATACCTTCTTACTGGACAAAAAAAAGCCAAAAAAATTACATGAAGTGTATTGTCAGATCAACTTTGGAGTCTACTTTTATGAAGAAAGTGGCAGTGCTTATTTAACATTGTCAAAAAGTGGAAAAAGGAAGGGCAGGGATTGTCTCTTATGCAGTCTATTTTATTGCAAAAACCATTTTGGGGTATTTACTCCCCTGATTTAAGTTTCATTACAGATTATCAGAAAATGTTTTGTGATGGCATGGTAACTGGGAATACCTGCTGCTCATACATTTATTTATCGCACACACCCCAGCAAAGCAGTTTTAGATTTGTGTCCCGGTTGTCTCAAACCCAGTGTGCTCTCTGGAGCAACTGCTTGCAAATGGGCACAAGTTAAAATCAGCCCTGTAACACAGTAAGTTTTTTTGCATACAGAGGGCACTCCACTAGTAAAATTTGAACTGTTTCTGAAGAGGGAACATTATGCCCCTTATACCCAAACAACTTAGAATAGGGTTAGAGACCTTTCCCACAGTTGTACTGTAAATGCTTGTTTTGCCAGGCAAACAAGTGAGCGATCAAAGATTAGCCTGGAATCTCGATTCTTCCCAAGGAAAAGTTGTAGATGAACATAAGAGCAGCAGAAGTACATTGTAACAGACAGTATTTATCATACAGAAGACTCTAGCTCATGGAATTAGGGTAGGACACAACTGAACCCAGCCCCAGTACAGCTCCCCATGAGGCTATTAGGTGATACCAGAGGACGATAATCCTAGTTTAGGCTATCGTCCCTTCCTCACCCCCTATCCTCTTTTTTTTTTTTTTTTTTTTCATCCCAAGAACCCTACCAGAGTTTTGGTCAAACATTCTCACCAGCAGATAAATACTTCACTGTTTATCCTGCAAGCAATGCTAGTCTGGTTTTCAGAGTACTTTATGGAAACCTTGAGAGCAGATAAGAGTACAGACACAGCTGTGAACAGCTGACATCTGCTAGTCAGGCAGAGACTTACCTCCCGGTCATCAAATTCACAGTACTGCAGATCCCAGGTAGTTGAGAGTGTCCTTACGCAAGCGTACGTGTTGTTATAGGAATCTTCGCAGACACAGTCTGGGAAGCAGTGCTGTGAAGTGAGCAGTGAACAAAAACTTCAGAGGAGGAAAAACAGATCAACTAGCAGTCCTGTTCCTAGGTCAGAGCAGGAAAAACAGATGAACTAGCAGTCCTGTTCCAGGACTATACCAGCTGCTCTATACCAGCTCGAGCCAACTGCAGTTAACTGATGAACATCAGCATCTCAGTCTAACACATGCAAGTCTCCACCAGGGATTTTAAGCAAAAACTCAGCTCTTCTAAATGTGAGAAAGCATTGTTATTAAATCCACCATGACTAACTGCATTTTGTCTGGGAAACTAACACACATACACTGAAGAGAACAGCACCACATACACCACTAAAGACAACACCCATGGGATGCTTTACTTAAAGCAAACCACCTTGGTTCAGGAAGTAGCTAGTGACTTAAACAGTTACAGAGTTAATAGTTAAACAGAACTGTGCAACGAGGTCACTGGAAGTTTAGAAAGAACATGATGTGGCTGCCACCCATTTTGCCAAGCCCTGAAAATTTTACCAGCTCCAAGACCCTACAGATTCCCACTGAAAGGGTGACCGTGTTCCGTACGGACATACGGACACATCGGTTCTGAGTAGCTGTGTGTCTCCCTTCGATTCTTAAATGCTGCACAGGACCAGCAAAGCTAGCTCCTGCTTACCAAGACACTGTTAGCTTACTCAGAGAACCCGATTAGTCCATGCAGCAAACAGGTTTGATTCAGCAGCTATTTTCTAACATTAACAGATCTTGTCTTGCTTACTGTGACTCCAGGTCCTAGGCCAGGACAGGTAGGATCACTGCCGTTGTATCCTTCTCCTTGGTACTCCACCAAGAAGTCTGATCTCCACGTCACATTTTTGTCTCCTCTCTAGGACAAGAGGTTAACACAGCTCTTAGTATCCACTGCACTGTGAAACAGAAGAAATTCTCCATGCCTGTAAGCTGCCCACTGCTTACAAAGCAGTTTGAGTCGTGGGCCCTAGTTTGAGTCAGCCTTAAAATAGTATTTAGCCTTAGGCTAGAAAGTCTTGTCTAACTGTAAGTCAAGGATCCAACTCCAAAATATTAGTACACCTTTTCATAAGGGTTTAAAGTACTACCATCAATTTATAAAGAATCATGCAGTAATAACAAATAGAAGCCACGTGGCCAGATATCGCTATACTACAGACAAGATCCCTGAAACGAGGCTGTTTCTCTTTGGTTTATATCAGACTACCACAACAGATGGAAAAAAAATATCCTTGGCATAAGAAAAGATAAACAGCTTTAAGAAGCAAGTCAGTTTTAAGCTGCTCTATTTGTAGCTGCATTTTACAAGGCAGAGGGAGAGCGAAGTTTAAAGTTAATATACAGCCCCAACAAAGGCACATACAGAAAACCAATGAGTTTCCCAGTTTTGATTCCACCAGAGTTTAAACTAGATGCCTTCTACCTGCTTCTGTCTAAAGAACAGCTTAAGGTTTGGATACAAGGTTTTAAAAGCAAAGCACTGTTTTAAATCTGGATCATCTCCTATGTTTCCAAGTAAGCAGCCTTCAATTTATAGACTAAATTTAATTAAAACTAACAGGATCAACTGCAAGCAGCTTTATTTAAATAGGCTTCTGCTAACTTATTGGAAAGGTCAGGGTTACTTTTATGAAACCACATGGATTTTTCAAGAGTTTAGGGGCAAACACTAGTTCTTGTGAAAACTGAGGCAAACCAAAGATTTAAGTAAGATTTTCTCCTATGTCTATGCGGAAAAACCCCAAAGAAAAGGGGGCGGGGATACGACATCCCTGACTTCATAGCAGGATTAGCCAAAGGATGACACAACTTTCTATTACAACATGACTGCAAAGTTGTAGGGCTTATAAAAACATATCTGCATTTAAACAAGATACCTATTTTTTTCACTAAGCTATGAACATCCCATGTGAAAATGGCATCGAGGGAAGAATCTAGGTTATGAGTCGACCTAGTCTATCGAAGGAAGTAGTACTCACCTCAAAGAATAGTCCCTGGAAGAATTACCAGTTACTATCCCTGTCCATCTACTCACCAGCAGTGGCAATAGTGACATCCCGTCCATCTGGGTCTTATTCAAGTCATACCCCGCAATATCCAGGATAGTGGGACCCAAATCAATATTTGCAACAAGCATCTGCAGAGTGAGGAAAACTTACTTCAGAAGACTAGAACCTAACAGATGTAATAATGAGACTTCTGTATTTTAAATACTTGTAATTTTAGGTACACCTGAGAACTACTTAAATCTTTACAGGCTGATGGACTCTGTAACATTCAAAAGCAATGGCAGGGTCTTTGGAAAGTAAGTGTCACACGTCATTTACTTTTGCAGCCTGCACTTACTTACATCTACTGACTCAAGCAAAAGCATATAGCTTTTTAGAACGAGATCTTTGCACTAGGATTCTACCACTCCCTATATTTCATTTCACCAACACACATACTATATATAAAAGCAGGAGGATAAATTACCTAAAGTTGATCACCATGAAAAAAATAATAAAAGTAAACTCATACTCTGATTTCACCTCTTACCTTGTTTGTCTGGTTTGGTTTTATCCCTGGTCCTCGAACTAGCAACGGAACTTTGATATCAAACTCGTACAGCTGCCGTTTGTCTATTGGCAAGGAAAACTGGCCTATATGACAGAAAACGGAAAAAGTTAAATGGCTTGTTTTATGTGTCAGGAGTCTTTTGTGTTCTGTAACTACCAGCAGCCAGTTTTTTAACAGGGCAGCAGAGGTTCATAATCTGAACTACAGTTCATAACCTGAACTAACAAAATGGAAGACTGGAACAGGCAGCTGCGAAGTACAAGTCGTATCTTATGGAGTTTAACAGCTTAGATACTGCATTTTTAGTTGTACAATGGGATACAGACAGCTCTTTCACAGATTTTTACTAGCTATCTCTTTCACAGCAACTCTTCCTACAGAAGAGAGACCCTTCCTCCATTTCTGTCCTAATTTTATGTATACCTGGATACAGATGGTAGAGCTTAATACTAAACACTGTGACCAAAAAAACCCCAAATACACCATGCTACAACTCCAGGTTGTTTTGCAACTCAAATCATTACTTCTTATGTCTATGGTTTTCTACAACTGCTGATCCCATTTCCTGGAGTGGTCATGAGGGTGAAATGTTACACGATTCCTGGATCTTCTACAGAGATTCCGTAAGCAGTTAAAGTTTTACCAGTGTGGAAGCCATTGTCTGATGTGTAGAAGATGTACGTGTTGTCTAACTCTCCATTCAGTTCCAGTTTCTTCACTAGTTTCTCTATCAGGTCATCTACTGACAGCAGAGTTTGCCACCTGTACAGAAAGTAATTCATGTTAGAGTATGAAAAATTTAGAATAATTGGTATTCTGCTTTGAGTCAGCAGTGTATCTCCTGTAACGTGGATTATTTTGCCTGTGAATTCTGAAAAAAAAGCCTTCCTAGATTACCACACTGTACTTCTTGAGGCTGCAATTTAAGATAGAAGTAGACTGTTTGTCTTCAGTTCTTGTTGATTTTACTCTGTAGTGTCTGAGAAAGACGTCAAAATGCTGATTACTTCTTATCTGGAGACAGTCAAGCTTTGAGGCAACACGGTGGCAAAGAGTCCGTTACCTCCTGGAAGGTCACTCACTATTAATTCTTTATATGAAGTTTTTCATATTAAAGAACAAGACTGTCATGAATTTGATTGTCTATATGGGATCCTTTCTGCATGAAAACTACATCAGCTATTTTCTATTACTCATGTAATATCAGTGGCCATTATTCCAGTGTAGCTAAAGTTTTCAAACAGCTACAAGTTAGTATTTCCTTTGTTATGGGGTTTGCCATCGAGACAAGTGACTGCTTCTGATAAGCCAGTAACAAGCCGTCATAGGCTTGTTATACTATTATGCTGAATTAACTAGTTATTAAATTCTTGCGTTCTTGTTGTTTCCAGGATTAATTTAAGATTTTGTTGCATGATATTATCTGGGAATTTTATAAAGCAAAATGGTCTGAAAAAACCCCTTTGTTTTCCATCTCCAAAGTCACAAGCTACACCCGACAACCACTCACAATGGAGTTTACAGTTAAAGTTTAGCTAACGTTTGTTTCAGAGCTTTTAAAGAAAAACACGCCTTTCTGTTCAAGAGGTGGAAACAAGCTGTATCTTCACATTAGTCCCCATATCCTTTTTCATAAAAAGGAACCAAGCACTCGCCTTGGCCACTCAGGTGTTCCCATGTAAAAAGACCACACACTGAGAGCCAAGGTTAATAAATCAGATTAGCTGACAGATAAATCCATCACATTTCATGCACATCATGTAACAATTCAGATTTTAAGTGAAATAGAAGGTAAGGCTGTTTTTTATGAAAACCTGTTATGCACTGAAACAGAAGCAGTAGAGACATTGAGCATGATTGGTCTTTTTTATGATACAATAATGGCAGCATTTGGGAGCAAAATATTGCAAAATGGAAACTGAAAGTCAGGCCTGCTGAGACAGATGTCAGAGAACTACTACATGCAATTTGACATCTACTGTCAGACTCGTTACAACCCTTTAAAAGAACCAAACAAACCAACAATTTTTATTTTTTTTAAAAAAAGGAAAGTACTGAGCAGAAATCTTAAGCCACAAAAATATCCTCTTACCGCTTTCTGTAAGCATCATCAAGAAACTGTATTGAAGAGTTAGTCATTGGGGTCTTTGCTTGTCGAATTAACCAGTGCTTGTTCTAAACAACAAAAAATAGACAAGATTAGCATAGGAGAGAAGTACCAGCTTTTAAACCTTTCTTAGGCCAATTACAACAGAAATGTTGTTTAGGGTAAAACATCCACATGATTCCTGTAAAACAGCCAGGCATGCTATCAAACTGACCTGACTCCAATTTTCCTTCTTGGTTCACAGAAAAATCTGAGTTGCAACAGCAGCATATATTACAGCTCCACCACGCTCAGTCCTTGGTGAGAAAATAGCTGTGTATCTTTTTAAAGCAGTTCAGGGAAGAAATTTGTGAAAGGTGCTAGGCAAGGCTATTCTAGCCTGAAAAAAGTCTGATGAAAAAAATCTGAAGCATCAAGCAGCATTTTAAGATTGAACTTTGTTGTCAAAGTGAGGGTCCTTTGGAACTAAGATTGGTGAGCATCCTAGCCTAGGTAGAGAGGTGGAGAGATACTCCAGCATTGAAACCAATTAGAACTACCTAATTAATGGACAAAAATCTGTAATGGTGCCACTATCGGATTCTTGGTAATCTGTGAACTCAAGGCTGGAGACTACTAGGGAAAGCAGAAATCTTACCATTTTATTTGGATTTTTTGACTCCAGAAAAAGAGCACTTCTTTAGCTGAAGTGTTACTGACTCTCCTAGCTGCATGCCCAAATTTCAGAAACAGCCCCTGTCTTTCTCCCCTCACCCATCCCCCCAAAGCAAGGGAGATGATCTAACTCATGACAAGTGACACTCCCACATCCTGAAGCACCACCGTGAACTGGGTCAGCTGCTCTACCAGTACATTGGAAAGTCTGTTGTGAACAACCTGAAAGTTTATATTAGTGGAGTACTAGAAGAAAGGAGAAAGTCATGGCAATGCAGCTTTACACTTTTTTGGTTAGTAGGTCAGAGATGACCCACTCATCACCCTCAGCTTGAGCCTGTATTTAGCTGGTCACTCCTCTCGGTAGAGCCTCTTGTTACGCAATTTCCCTCCTGTCACAAGCAAATGACTCTGAACAGGCTCGGGCTTCAGGGACTCACAATGAAGTGACTCAAACCTCCTGCAATTATTCAGTTCCCTGTTTTTTGCCGACTGAAGTCAAATATGTTTAGCATGAAGACTTAATATCACGTCCACTTCATTTTAATTTGGTTGTATTCAGATCTCTCTTTTATAGTAGTCATAAAATAATTCTCTGGAGAGACATCAAGTCTATCGCAACACGAAAACACAGCGTAACAAAGACCAAACACCTAGGATTTGTCTGTTGGTTGAGAAAGGAAAAAGTAAAGAAAGACACCTCCAGCCCCATCCCTGGCAATGTCACCTGAGCACCGGCCATCTTTCACCAGAGGTGGGCTTAGGAGAGGCCCTCCATAAGGGACAACCATGCTGGGTAACTCAGGTGGATAAGTCACCTAGCACAGTAGAATTCTCCTCTTTCTGGAGTATTCTGTTTTTCCTACCTTTCTCTGAAGTTTCAAAACCTTCACACAGCACCTAAATGTCTTTGTGGATTTCAACAGACTTCACACTGACTCAGAGGCCTCAGTCTGCTTCCCTGTCAGTCCCTGTCACCAGTTACATACAAAGCTGTCCACCAATCCTGCTGCCTCATTATGTCCTGCTCTCAAAGAAATTTTAGATCTTGAGATAGCATACTGTATCTTGCCAGCAGAATCTGAACACAGCTGTGCTCTGACTTTGCAGGAAAAACGAGGCAGGCAAGAGAAATACCCAAAATGGATCTTAAGTAGCTTCTTTCTCAGAACAGCTTAGATAAACCACTCATCTGTGCTGTCAGCAGTCCCGCTTGGGAAACCAGACAGCTACCCATCATTTGATGTAGTTCTTAGCTGAGGATCCTAAGCAGAAGTTAAAGTGCACATCACTGGCCAGATTGACTCCTCTTTTCCATATAGAGATTTGGCCTAAATGGCTCCTTTTAGAACCTCTTGCTCAAACAATGTATGAGGGAGCTAGGCAACATTAATTTAGGAATCAAGACTGCACAACGCAAGACTGTCTAGCAAGCATTACAACATCAATGGCTTGAGGGGCTGAGCCTACACACAGGCTTAGCGCTATCGCCTTAGAAAAACAGTGAAGCTCAAAGAAGGGTTAGACCTCAAGACCACATCACTGCCAACTGCAGGAAAGGCAGGTTGTCAGTGATTTGTAGCTATTGTGTCTAGGGATAAGGGTAACACTAGCCTGTTCCCATTATGAAATCCAGTAAAACTGCTGTTTCCACAGATAGGAACTACCAAGCATTAAGTAAGTCTGTTAGTTTGCTTTGCATTATATAGCCACATCCAGAGCTTTTGCTCCACGTAAGGGAGTTCGCATACTGGTTTTGGTTTTTTCTCGGCTAGGTGGTCAAGCTATTTCTGACTCTGAATGCTTTTAACATAATGTTATTACAGTAACAGAGCCTAAGACAGAGTTAGCGATCCTTCTACCGAGAAAAAAAAGTCTGATTTGCACTCCCTTGGTTAAAACTTAACAGGCTGGGCTAAAGCACTTGTTACTGCTTGCAGCCCTTTTCTCTCCTTTCATTCACATCTTCATATCACACTTGATAAGCACATGGTCATTTTGCAAGCTATAATCTTCAACTAAAACCAAGTTTCACTCTGTACTACACGAGACACGGTGACCTTAGAAGAGGTATTCCTGGGCCCTAGATAGGCATTTAGCCAATGAGTCGTAAGATTAGGAGTAAATCTTGAAGCAAATCCGTTGAATATTGAACAATAGGGAGTTCTGTGTTTTAAACTAATTGAATTAAAAATACAAACCTTCTGTAAGTTCAATATCTCACTAGATTAACTATTTTTGACTTCTACTTATTGGCAGAGGAAGTTGCAATGGATTAGTCTGAGCTAGATCATATTTGGTGAAGTTTACTGGCAGTGGAGGGTACTGCCCCATCACATAACTTCTGTGATTTATGTTAGGCTCAGCAATTCTGGTTTAAAGGTTATTTCACAAAGCGAAGGGCAAGTTCTCAGAGTGCTTAGTGACCCTGGGCTCTCCGGTTTCATCATTTCATAAAGTCCTCTGGTTAGTCTGATATGCTTGTCACCTAGGGGCGATTTTGCCACAAGCTCAGGTAACAGATCACCCATCCACACGAGATGTGCGTAGGAAGACAGGCTCTGGTCATTCTTCACATGAGCTTTTGTGTGGCACACTACCTATGTGCTCTTCTGAACACACCGAGAGCCACCAAAAAAACATTTTAAGAGCTTCAGAACAGCCTGAAAACTGGACAAGGAACTAACTTCTTTCCATTTATCAACCATGATTCCACTGTACTGCCTCATTATTTTTTTGCCACTACATTTTTTATCTACAGGTATTAGTATGCAAATCTTAGCCTGAAAGCCTGATTAACATAACCAAACAGCCAGTAGCTGTGGTATTAGCCTGGTCTTCTCACCATTTAATCTTAATGTGCGAATCAGAGTCATAGCCTACTGCTCACAAACTAGTAGAATAACCTGTGCAGATACTTGCTAGTTAGCTTACCTTTCCATGAATATTAAAATTGCTGTTTCTTGGTGCACTGACATTCTGAAAGCTCTTCGTATACTGTGGAGCAGCTGTCCAAGGGGAGTGCGGTGCTGGGGTTGAGATCATCATGAAGAAAGGCTCGAAATTAGATTTATACTCCAAGAAGTCCAATGACATGTTGGCCTATGAACAATTTTGTTGGAGAAAGAAAAGTCATACCTCCAAAAAAGAAAAACCAGAAAAACCCAACCAGCAAGTATTTGAAAAATCCAAACTGGACATTCATAACTTGAGAGTTCAGAAGTACTGGGAACATTTAAGCTATTTCATATAGTAGCTGCTTGCTCATCTACAAGTGCCCAGAACAGCAGCTTGTGATTAAAAAAATCCCAGTGTTAAACAAGCCATCTGTCTCACATCTCTGGACAACTTTCTCCTTCAGACCTATATGTTATTTAGATCTGCAAAGCTCAGAAGTTTGTGCCTGTTTCAAGTATCAAGCAAATTTGCCTAAACTGTTTTCATCAAGTAAAACTGAAGATTTCTTTAACATGGTTTGAGTCTGAGGCTCAGATGCCATCTCCTGCCTGACAGATCCTAGTTTAGCAGTTTCAGTTGTCTTCAAAACTAGCAGTAGTTCTGAAAATGTTTTCCAGCCCCATCATTTATAGTGTACATTCTCACTGTAGCAAGCTCCAAGTTTACAAGGGATGCCACATTTCTGCTGGTCAAGCCAGAAGCTCTAGCGAAGGACAGCTTTGAACTCCATTCACTCACATCACTTCACTGAACTTTCATTTTAGCCTATACACCATTTCAAGTAGCGAGTTCAGTGACTGTGAGTTCCATTTTGGCATTCCCTTGGCCAGCCTTTGAAACTAAAGGTATTACTCACAGACGAGTTCTTTGCTGTTCAAATCTTGCAACATTTTTCTATCCTGTCTGATTAGTATAGCTCATTTTGGACATCCTTTTCTTTTTCTAGAAGAAACAATACACTGGGATGTCCTCCTCTTCCTTCGTCCTAACTTGTACAGAGCTAAGCAAGTAGGGCTGGACTTCAGTTACATGAAAACAGAGTTAAAGAGAGGATAAGAAATGCATGGAACTAAAAAAACCTGGTTCGGAAACCATAGGTAAACTCATAAAGGTAGTGAAACTTTGTTAGGAGCTTAAGTTGCAACATGCCAGGAGTGCAGCAGACAGTTTCAGGTGTTCAGATTTGTTATACCAGTCTGAAGTACCCATATGTCCTTAGTCAGGACAAGAAAGCAACACAGGAACGTTGCATAAGCAATTTACTCCTGTGTACTGCCTGTCGAGTGAACGAAACTCAAGAACTAGCTCTGAAATGCTAAATATATATTTGGTAACTACAGGTAGAGAGTGAAATGCAACATGCTGAAAATTATAATATACTGCTGTATCAATGGGCAACACTACAAGTAAGAGGTTTATGCAGCAATGACCTGTTGGTCAAAACGCTTACAAGCTGCTGAAGGATCAAAAAAGACCAGTGCAATGCCAGTAATAGGATAGTCTCACTTCTGGCTTAACAATTCCAATCTAGCTTTAGGCAGTGTAAATCTAAATTTAATCAGACAGCTGTTCAGCACCCTGAGAAACATCAATCAGTTCTGTTCCTAGTCAGCAGCTGTCTATGTTCAAGAACCCACTGGAACAAAAACTCCTTAGGGTCTCAACAGAAAATTACAAATCAACTGTATGAGGAGACTTCTCAGAGAAGAACTGTCCTGAGTGCCCCATGTGAGCTACCAACTCCAAGACTGTAAGAGCACGACAAATGAAGAGTCCAGCTTGGTGGGTGGTGGGAATGCTCTCCTGATCCCCAAGCTCCAAGCTAATACTACTTGCTAAACAGGGCCTCACGTGAACTAAAGTAACTCTTCCAAATTTTCACTAGTTATTTAGTATCTTTGTTACCTTTCTTTACCTTAAGAGGTTGAAGAGGCTAAAAACTTGCTTAGTCAGCCACACACTTTGCACAGTCCATATACTGCCCTCTCACACTATGGAGCACTGATCAGCCTTTGGTATTTCCAAGTTATCAGTTTGATGTAGTTTGAGATTACAAGATACTAACACATCACAATAGCTAACAAACAAAACATGGTGCAAAGTTGTTTTTATACTTTTAACTTCCCACTGAAATCTTGGTCCAATTAATCTGTTACCGAAGTCGTGTATTGCAATGAAATGCATCCTTCCAGGAAGTAATTTAAGTTGTTGCCTACACGCACCATGCTCCTCATACGCTGCAGCAGTATTAAACCTCTCAGTGAGGCTACTGACTAGCTATGGGAAGCTGGAATTCCTTTCTTCTCCTCAGCTCGTATATGCTATCTTGTCATTTCTAAATATACCCAGAATCTTGCTCTGCTGATTAATGCACACCCACCATCACGACAGCACAATCACGTATTTATGAACTAATAGGCTAACAAATTATCACCCTCACCCTTCCCCAAGCCCCCAGCATGAGGCAGGATCTGGCCTTAAGCAGCTTCTGCAACACAGGTGTTGCAAAATTCCTTACCAATACATCTGTCAGATAATCTACGCTGTAGTTCTCGCCGTGCCTTCGTGCTTTGCCATTTACTGAAAGAGTATAGTTGTAGTACTTTGAGTTTTTCTCCTGTGAAAAAGAAAAGTCATGTGCATGATTATACAAAGTAACATGTACACAGACTACCGGAAATAACCAAAATGAGCTGACAACAAGCATTTGTCAAATAAGTGATAAGCATTTGTTGTCAGGACACCACAAGAATTCTCAGAACTGGTCTCCAACAACAAAGCTTATTTCAGTGCTACCGCACTCTGCTTTACCTTTTCAAGCTGGGGCTTTCCCCAGGCACCTTAGTAGATGAAAAGCAAAGATCTGATACGCAATAGAAGAAAAAAAAAAAAGGGAGGAAAATTTGCATTAAGATGTTAGATGCTTTTTGCCTGCGCTTTCACGACCAGCAACACTAGAACACAAGTTGGATTACAAAGCAACTGAAATAAAGTATTTTAGGAAAAAGAATGGTCACATACCAATGCGTACCAAAAACTCCATCCAGGAGGAACATGACCTACTCCCCCTGCATCCTCTGCTCCATACTGAAAAAGAAAAAGACACACCATGACTCACAGTTTCAATTATGATGAATAAAACCTAGAAATTATGTTTCACATTCCTGTGCTTTACTCAACACTAGTGGAAAAAACCATATATATACACATAAAAACACATATATAGACTGTTAAAGAAAACAAGGTTAAATAACTAGAAAGACAGTAACTGAACACCTGAACTGTTGGCACTCACCAACAAAATTCACATTTTATTCCCTGTTCTACTCTGCAAAAGAAAATATGCAGAAATCCTGAATAATATACAGTACATCATCAGGTAACGAGCAGCAATCAAACCACATGTGCGATAAGACATCCTTAGGGCTTGTGGCAACAGTTCACACGACATTAAAGAAAATTTCACATAAACCAATGGCTTCCACCATCCTCCCCTAAAAGGAAGTATGAACTTCATGCAGTGCTAGCCTCTTGTCACCTCAGTGCCAAATAAGCTGCAACAACCAGCCTTTAAGCCAGCAAAAAAAGGAAAGTAGCTGCTGAATCAGTGCCAAACTCAAAACAGAGAGTGCCTCAGAGCAACACAACGGGTTTTCTCAGGGCTGCCCTCTCCCATCTACGTGACTTGTCCAACTGCAGGGACAGGAGACTATGCTGAGTCAAGGGGATGCTCAGAGGGAGCCAGATAAGCTTCCCTTCCCCTAGGTGCCTCAGTAAAATCAGCAGAAACAAATTTGTCCCTAGCTATGAAAATTCATGTTACATTACTCTATTATACCACCAACATTTTCCATCAAGAGATGCAAGGAAAATAATGCTGTTAAGCACCCTGTAACTCACCTAGTTCCAAATACCATTCCATCACACAAGAGGAGCACTTATATCTTGAGATCTAAAATTCAGCAGTGCAAACTCATATCATAAACTACTACAAACCACGGCTTAGTTAAAAACTAAAAATAAACCAAAAGCATACACATACGAGTGATATAATAATAAAGTCTTGGGTAACCTCCTACGAAGAGCTCAAATAATACCTGTTCTCCCAATGAATTTGCCTCAGCGGACATTTAATATTTAAAATATCATCTTAACTGCTAAAAAGAAAACAGTCCTTTAATTCAAAAACATATATCAGACAGATGTATTGAGACAAACATTTTTTTTTTTCTTTAACACTACTCTAACATCGTGCCTGGTTCAGCACTGGCTTAATCATGTTCTTCTATACCATGTGCCAAGCATCTACCCATTTTCCCCAGTCATTATAATCACAATCTCTAAAAATTAACACATCTGAACATATTAAAAAAGCCTTTGGATTCCATCACGCTTTCAAAGTTAACTTCTGAAAATATTCAGTCACCTGATTTTAACCAAGTTAAAGATTTGAAATTTGCATCTTATTTATTGCATCTCAGCAAAGAGAACTGTTCATCCAAGTAACACTATTTTAAACATTTTGGGGACCCACCATCAGCCACAAATATACAAATCACTGAATGTTTTAGAATGGTGGACAAATGCAAATTAACTGTATCACAGTAAAAAAATAAACACAAAATACCTCATTCAAGTACTTGCCGGCAAAGAACGTTTGGTAACCACACATAGTTTTGAGCAGCGCCGGGAAGGTATATGGTTCTTGAATCTTCTGCCATAACTTGCTGCTACAGTTTCCTTCCAGAGTGTTATTGACAACATGATGATTATGTGGATATTTTCCTGTTAAAATGCTGGCTCGACTGGGACAGCAAAGTGCACTGGGGACATACTGGAAAGACAGGATGAAGACATATAAGACTGACGTTGTTTTACAATTTTTCCTCAAAACTTATAGTTTGAAATATCAGCTAATAGGTTGATTAAAATTTAACCAGCATTAAAGCATACTTCTTTCTGGATACACAGAATTACATGGCAAGTATTTTCACTAGTGAAAAGCTGTGTATAAATCAGTTTTAGATTCCTTCAGCCTGTGTCCTTTAACTCCTCCCAGATTAGATGTGGTTCTTATACAGCAGCAAGTATCCATTAAAGTAGTTTGCCAGTTAAAATTCATGCCATTATTTTAGCTATGGCAATGCATTAGAATATGAGAAGAGTGAGGCAGGTTTTCAGCATGTGTGAAGCCAAAAGTTTTAAGTAGCTGTTCCTAACGCTTCTCTGTTTGTAATAAAAATATCCAGATTGCTCAGTTTTGCTTTACAGCTTAAGGAAGTTAGCACAAGTACTTTCAGGAAGCGAAACTGTCCCTCTCAGATTTTGAGCATGACCTTGAGCTATATTCATTTTGAGACCATAAAGTATTCAGACATTTGTCCTAGTTTGAGCTAAACAGAACCAATTCTGTTTACTGATTTTACTTTTCAGCTCAGTCTCTTCTAAGAGACAAGCACTTTCTGAAGTTAACAGCATGTTTTTGCAGACAGTGTCTGCTACTAGAAATGATAACACTTGATGTTTACAGCTACTACCAAGGACTGATATGCAGAAAGGCTCTTGCTTATACTTGCTCCTGTAATAACCAAGGTCACTGCTAAATCTCATGTACCATGTTGGGGGTGCCAGAAAGTAAAAGGGTCACAAGTAAGAAGTTGCACCTTTGGCGAGGAACGAGCAGGACAGGTAACCCAAACCTAACCAACAAAAGTACACCATTCCTTATTTAACTATTTGGCCGTGCCCTAACCCATGACAAGACTGAATTTA